GCACCTGTAGTTCCAGCTACTTGGAAGGCTGAGGCGGAAGGATCGCTGGTGCCCAGCAGGAGAGGCTGCAGTGGCCGCTCCCGGCCACCGCACTCGTCTGGGCCACTGCACTCCAATCTGGGTGGCAAAGTGAGGCTCCAACTCAAAAAAAATAAATAAATAAAAAATAAAATATTTTTTACTGAGGAAAAAAAGCATATAAATTTGTTGTAGTTTAATAGAAATAACCATGAAAGAAGGAACCTTACAGTCCCATCATCTCCAACCAATGTTAAAAGCCTCATGTACAATAAAGGTTGGAACATTCCACCTGCAAACTTTTAACTTCTCTATCTCCAAACTCACAACTGCAGACTGTTTTGATGTTAAACTTGAAATGTAGAGTTTTGGTCATGTACATTACAAAAGTAAACAAAAAACTTTCAGAATGTCACTAGACAATTAAACTTTTATTGAAGCTTAAATTGTGATACAGAAATACATTTCAACTGATTTTTAGTCCAACACCAATGAAGGGAAAAATTATGGCACCAAAACGTCCCTCCTCTATGATACTAGGATTCACCTAGATTACTAGTCACCCTACAGTCTTCTTTCTTCTAGGCTTTGTTCCACACAAATCTGTGCAGGTTTAGTATTAGAATCCTTAAATCTATTTTTTTTTTTAAATCAACAAACCAGACCTCAAGCCAACAAACATCAAATCTACTGGGATACTGTTCAAGAACAAAATCCACCTTGAGCATTGGGTCCTCAAAACAGTGCACCTCAGAGTATTAGGTGCTGCGCTCAGTACAGAATCAAAGTGATCACACTGATTGAAAATTTCCTCAATGAAACTTTCAATCAACAACATGCTCAAAAAAAGTCAAAACAGTGTTCCAACCACTTGATTTCAAACCAAGTAGACCTTATGTTTAGAAACACTAAAAAACGGTGTTTCATTTATAAATACGGAAGGAACAAAAACATCACTGCATCAATCCAGAAATTATCAAATATTGTGAGGACAAAAAAATAAAATCAGTCAACTTTGCTGTTCCAGTTGCTTAAATCTCACAGCACTGCAAATACAGCTAAAAGATGCCAACTCTTGAAAGCCTGCATTTCTAGTAGCTTCCCACTGAGTTTTTTGAAATTTTGTTTTACTTATGCATTCATTCATATATTCTGATTCATGGTGTGTATCTGAATAACCTGGATAATTCTCATTCTGGGCATTCATTCATTTGATTCTTGTAAATGTCATGGTGAAAGAACACCATAGTGAGAGGAGCAGATGAACTCACATGCCATCAGTCACAGAACCTTAAAGTCACAAGATGAAAGACACAGATTCTGGTTTGAACCAAAGTTTGCAGTATACTACTAATGGAAATTAGTGGAAATGGTGGCTAATGTGAAAGTTAAGGTGAATAGTCCAAGCTGATTTATGGAAGGCAGTACACCTTTATGTGAAATCCCCCTGAATCAACTCAACTAAATAAAAATCCTGTCATACCCCTACTTCGTAAGTTAGCAAAGGCATGGAAATTCATTATAATCTCATTATTCAGGAACAAAGAATTGCATGTGGTTTCCACAGTTCAGTAAGCTACCCCAATCTCAACCTACATCTCTCTATGGGCCTTCCTGCGAATAAACTCAGTACCTTCCGAAAGAGCCCATACAGAGGAGGACAACTTCCTGTGCCCTGAAAAGAAAATAAGCCCAGGGACCATCTCCCCCTTCCCCATATGGGGTCTAAGATGAGCGTGTAAACCCACAGTGTTAACAATGTATTGCTTCATCTGGGGCTTGGGGGAGATACCATGTGAGGAAAGAAATCCATTAGTGGACTATAGATGCAAGGGTCGAAGATGTGAGAACAGGAACACAGAAAACGAGAAACTAGAATCATTTTCTTAAGAGGACTCAACTCGAAGAAAACTTTTAATTGCTGTTGCAAAAAACATCTGTATGAAGTAGAAACTGGTTTCAATAACATTAGTAAAGAGTATGTTCTAGAAAGTGGAGGTAACTGGATGTAAAATTCTGGCAGCAATTTAATAGAACAGTCCCAGATAGGCTGAGGCCAACACCTAGTGAGGACGAAAGCCTTGTCTGTGGGGAATTTTGGACGATACCTGGAGAAATATTACACTCTGCATAAACCAATTTGAGTTTTCACAAATGTTGCAAAGTTTCATATAGTAAAAGGTTTTTTCTACATGCACTTCAATTTCACAGCAAGAGTGGCAGAGAATACCTAAACACAGAAGAGAGCATTCATGCAAGATATCTAACTCCTTGATATAATAATGCATACAATTCAAAATGATTACACTATCATTACATCTAGGGCTTTCTGCAACTACAAGGTGGCAGCTATAGAAAGCATGGCCTCCGGTATCAACATCTAAAAAGCAGCCACCACCTTCTACGTGTGTTCTCTTTTTGCGTTTTTTCTTCATTTTTCTTAATCAACTCTGCTGTTGTTGCTGCTTCTTAGCAAAACTGGTAAAAACAAAATTGTAATCATTGAACATAGCACTCTGGCAATCAAGACGCTTAAAACCTTCAATCTTCTGAGGTGAAGAAAGTACGGTGCGACATTTAGAACTCTGGGGAGAAAGATTTCAAGAACCATTAGTGTGTCCAGTCTATAGATGTATCTTCAAACAATAATTATGCAATAAACAGACTTTTATCTGACTGAAAGGATGGCATGTAACTTATTTTCTGAGTTCCTATGGGTTGAATAGGGCACTTTATGGTCCCCAACCAGGGCTGTCAACAGGGAAAATGAATAGGACAGAAAGAGTTCATCACTTGGGCTAGATTTTACTGACTGGTTGATTGATTGATTGATTTTTTGTTTTTGAGTTGTGGTGTCACTGTTGCCCAGACTGAAGTGCAGTGGCACGCTCACAGCCACCCCAGCGTCAACCTCCTGGGGCTCTGGCGATCCTTCTGCATCAGCCTTCCAAGTAGCTAGAACTACAGCTGTGCGCTACTACACCTGGCTAATTTTTATTTATTTATTTATTGTACAGACAAGGTCTTGCCAAGTTGCACAGGCTAGTCTCGAACCTTCGGGCTCAGACAATCGACTAGCCTCAAAGTGCTAGGATTACAGGCTGAGTCACCGAGCCTAGCCTAGATTTAAAACAAAGACTGACAGAAGTCTAATGAGACACCAAGCTTCTGACCTGTTAGTAACTTCAAACAGCATCACCTCTGGGTATCTGCGTGACTAGTTATGTGTATCATCTTAGAATATATCTTATGACAAGCCTCACTATCCTCATTTCCCTTAAGCTTTTATTATGAATAAGAAATCAAATTACCTGATTAACAAACAAGGTGGTCACAAATTTTCCTGGTTTGAAGACTTCCACAACTTTCCTGATCAGGTCATCATAGGAGGTCTGACTTAAGTTTGTTTCAAAGCTAACATAAGAAAATTCTGGTTCTGGAGTGATGTGAATAGTCCAATAAGTTCCCTGAAAGAAAATTTTATGTTAATAATGGAAAGGATACATTTAAATGTGAAATAATTATTGAAGCAATGTGTAACTTACATCCGATTTCATTCCATTCATTGAATACCCACAAGGATTGAACAGTGTGGCATCAATGACAGAACCTGGTATCAGGTCACGAATTCCACTCTCCTGGAAAAAAATGAGACTGCATTTAATAGAAATGTGAAAAACAAACTGATAATTAACTTAAAAATGTAGCCCCGATGCAGAAGCAGCCAGCAACTATCTTTGAGAGACGTACACGAGTGACGTCCTTTGCAGTAACACCATCTTTCATGTAGAACTGGTCCATGACTGCTGGGTCAAGCTCACTCATCAGAATCTCCAGGGTTTGATCTGGCTGACTGATTACCCGGCTCTCTGGAAAATCCAGAGTATATAAGTACCTACATAAAAGTAAAAAAACAGTTCCTAAAATGACAATCGTAAGCTTAAATTAACTCTTATCTTGAACAACAAAAATCCACAAAATTGCAACAAACATACCAACAGTCAGAATTCATACGTCCCATACAGTATGCTGCTCCATCTGTCAAGGGAGAGAATATAAAATGAGCATGACACGGCCATTCAACAGGATGGCTTATTACTGTCCTTTCCATAGGAAGAATGCTACCATTTGCCAATGATCAGAAATGTCATGAGTGAAGGAAGGGAACCTTCAGTGGGTAAGTTCCTAGAGAAGCAGAATGCCCCTACCCTTCATCCTGATAAAAAAATAACTTTTTTTGGTCACTGACTGATACAACCCACCATGGTTGGCCTAATGGACGCTGAGGAAGCTCTAGCTTACTCTCCTGCTAAAGCTTCTTTAAGAGACGGATTTAGTTGCCCATTTATCTACTCTGCCACTTAAATACAAGGCATTTTTTTGTTTTTTTTTAGTTGGTGTCTCACTGTCACCCAGGCTGGAGTGCAGTGGCACGCTCATGACCACCCCAGCCTTGACCTGCTGGACTCAGGGCAAGCCTTCTGCCTCAGCCTTCCAAGAAGCCAGAATTACAGGAGTGCACCACCACTCCTGGCTAATTTTTTGATTTATTGTAGAGATGAGGTCTCACCAAGTTGTCCAGGATGGACTTAAAACCCTAGGCTCAGGAATCCTTATCTCTACCTCACAAAGTGCTGGGATTACAGGTGTGAGCCACCACGCCTGGTTAATATAAGTCATTTTAAGCAACACTTCCTTCCTGTACTGTTTCAAAACTTCACTGAACACAGTAAATCTGCCAGGTGTGATGGCTTATCCTGTAATCACAGCACTTTGGGAAGCAGGAAAGAAGGGCCAGGAGTTCAAGACCAGACCGTCTCTAAATAAAATATTAAATAGAGGCCATGCACTATGTCTCAACACCTGTAATCACACTTTGGAAGGTCAAGGCAGGGAGGATTGCTTGAGCCCAGGAGTTAGAGCCCACCCTGGGTTAACATAGTGAGACCTCAGCTCTACAAACAAACAATAAAAGAAAAATGAACACAGTAAATCAACACTATGCAGATATTAGCACTAAAACTGTAACACTCTAATATAGTCTGGTTTGGTTTCGTATCAGTAGACAGGATCAAGTCAGGACATTTTCTTTTTTATAATCGTGCTTGTGACTTTGTGCAGTTATTAAAATAGCCTAGGTTTTGGCCTCATCAAACAATCTTTTGTTCCCTGACCTCTATAAACAAAAATGTAGTCAAGGGATGAAATAAAAATCTTCCTAATTTGGCTCAAGAACAAACTGTGATTACATTGTGTTCATAATTTTTAAGCCAGGTCAATTATTACATAAAATTCTGGGCCAGCGTTTCCCAACAGAGTTTATGAACCACTGGGCATTTTTCTGGAAGGTATCACATCTGTCTTCATACTGTTGAAGGACATAGAATCTATGTGAAGAACCAGTGAGCTAGGTACAAGTAGAGGAACTTGTCAGACTCAGATGAAATTCTCCCTCTGTTGCTTCAAAGACCAGAAACGTAGGCTGGACAAGGAGGCTCATGCCTGTAATCCCAGGACTTTGGAGGTGAGAGGATTGCCTGAACCCAATGGTTCAAAACCAGCCTGGGCAACTTGGCAAGACCTTATCTCTAAAATATAACAAAACATTAGCCAGGCGTGGTGGCCCATGCCTGCAGTTCCAGCTACTTGGAAGGCTGAGGTGTGAGGATTGCCTGAACTCAGCAGGTCGAAGCTGCGGTGGCCATGAGTCTGCCACTGCACTTTAGCCTGGGCAACAGAGTGAGACTTCAACTCAGAAAGAAAAAAAAAATTTGTTTTTTCTGAGTTGGAGTCTCACTCTGTCACCCAGACTGGAGTGCAGTGGACGCTCCCAGCCACGGCAGCCTCGACCTGCTGGGCTCCGGCAATCCTTCCGCCTCAGCCTTCCAAGTAGCTGGAACTACAGGTACGTGCTACCACACCCAACTAATTTTTGACTTATTGTAGAGATGATGTCTTGCCAAGTTGCCCAGGCGGGTCTTGAACCCACGGGCTCAGGCAATTCACTACCTCAGCCTCCCAAAGTGCTGGGATTACAGGCTGAGCCACTGAGCCCGGCTCAGAAAAAAAATTTAAAAAAAAGAAGACCACAGGTGGCAGGTCATCACTCATTTCCTCCCTTCATCATTATTACGCAGCACTGACTTGGGATGCACAATTATCTCTAAAAGAAGTGTGTATTTACACAAAACATGAGAAAACTTGTAATATGGCATCTCTTCATTTAGCTTAACTTAAAAAATGTGTCAATTTATATTTTGAAACATATGCTATTATAAAGATCACTACAGTACTGATAAAACACTCAAGCTAAAAAAGCGTAAAAACAAGTTCAAAAAACAAGTAAATACAGTGTGCTATATTTGCATACATATGCTCTCATATAAAATAGATGTCCAAAAGGATACATCCTCTAACTTCAAGAAGAAAACATGTTTAAATTCTATTTAAACTTACTTGGGAAAATTGCATTAAGAAACTCTATTTCTTCCTGGAAATTCCGGTGTGGGTACCCTTGGTGAGAAGGCTTCATGAAATTCTTACGAGAATAAAAGAAGCTCTTAAAAAAAGGAAAAAGATAAATTTAGAACATAGAATTCTACCACTTTGTAAGCTAATCAACCATTCTCTGTGTACCAAAACTCAAATATTTCCCATTGCTGCATTTCTAAAGTATACAAATTAGCTACCTGAGCTGATACTAGGATAGTCTTACATTAATGTACAACTACAATATTGCAGCATTTAAAAATTCTGCAGAGAACTAAAAGTCCACTGTAGCAAAGTGAAGGGGTGGCTGAACTCCCAGCTACCTGGGACAATCAGTTGAGCCCAGGAGTTCAAGTCCAGCCATGGCAACATAAAGATCCCATCTTGATAAACACACACACAGCCCAGTCTACTGATGATAGGTCATAACTGTCAAGACAACATACAAAATTTCTTTCTAGAGCAGAGGTTTCTAATGTGAGATTAATATTCATGTAAGCAAAAGTCTTGTGGTACAACATATGTATATTTAGTTTTAAGAGTCAATGATCCAAGTTAAGCACGCATTGCTTTATATCTCACAAGGATCAATAGGTAACAGCAAAAACTGTATTGAGCCCTAATGAGAATGTGTCTTCCCCTTATGAAATGAAGCATTAAAATTCCACAACTGCTCATCAGAACATTATACCAGAGGTAAAAAACCCCCGCAGTTCTTGAAAACTATCAGATCTGTTACTGCCTATTGCTCTTCAACATAACTCTTCAGTATGAAATGTGTCTTGCTTTTCCTTCTTTTCTTACCATTTGTTATTATAATAAGTGACCATGTCAAGCAGTTAATGACCAGAGCACCTAGCTTCTTCATTCTCTCTCCATGTGAATTTTGCCACAGCTTACTCTCTACTTCCTTCATATTCTCTGCTATTCTTGAGCACCAGGCTCAGCATTTCTGCTTTCTCCTGTGGTATCGCCATCTTACCACATATTTTTATGCATTTTAACTGAGGCAGTAAGTATATACATTTATTACTAGGCACGTCATGGGATAAGAATCCTAACATGTATGCTTGAAAAGGTTTATGTCATGTTTTCCATTACTTACTTGAATTGAGTCAAACCCACTGTAATCCCTAGCAAGCTTCAACAGGGGAACCAGCGCTTTCAGCAAGAGGGTGGTACCACATGTCTTCAAAATGAAACGTCTCTTGGAGACAAACATGCTACTCTCACTGCAGGTGAAAAAAGTCAAAAGAGTAGAACTGTTTAGGTATTGGGATGCAGATAAAGTGTTAGTAGATTTTTAACTGTTGACTAGTACTTTAAAAAAATGTATGTAAATTGTGGCTTATTATAACTACTAATCAACAATATGTTATAGTGAATAATGTTTTACTTTGTAATAAGCTCTGCTAAAACTCCCTTACTCTTATGGCAAGCTTAATCAACTCTTCAGTTTGGTGTCACTGATAACACTGTGAGCTGCCTTTTTAGTAGCCAGCACCAGAAATACAGACCATAAATGTTACTACTGACAAAATGCAGCTGTAACTGAAGCTCTATACAATGTTCTGTCAGTCACATAGTCAATGTATACGTACCAGCAACCCTAAATTTATAAAAATAGACTATGATATCTAAAGGGCGAGTAGACTCGTTCAAAAAATGTCAAGAGCCAGGGTCTGTCTCCCTGAATTCTGAATTCAGAAATAAACTGCCAGTTCCCTGCCTCCTAATTTATTGGTATCGAGGGATATCAGCCAAGTGTTCACTCAGACTATAACACTTTTCAGGGGTAACTGATTTTTGTTTGTTGAAGGCTGAAGCTATCCATTTGTGGCTATTCCAAAACTATTCAAAAAGTGTGTATTTCCTGATGTGTAAAGGTACTAAATTTCCTGTTTTCTTTTTTTTTTTAATTAATTTTTTATTTTAGAGATGTGGGGTACAATTCAGCATTAGTTATTCCAAATGTTCATTATGCAGGTACCCTTGTGGATGAGGTGTGTCTTCCCCCTCCCCCAGCAGATTCCCACTACAGCCAATCCTGCCCCCAGATAGAACTTTTAAATGTTTGGATTGCAAGCAAAGTAATGCACTACTGTATTCTCTTCCTTTCTATTATATGACACTAGCATCTAAGAATGGCAGAAGTGTCTTTTGGAGAGGCTCTCCATATACATCATGAATATAAAAGCTTTCACACGGCTGACTCATACAAAAGCCTAACATTCTTTACTAAATTCCTGCTTTACCTCATTTTGCACCAAGTCATTTCTATAACCATCTCATTCCCTTCACTAGGTAATAAAACTCCATGAGGAATAAAGTATTTGTTTTTACTCAGCATTATATCCTCAGGGCTTGGCACACAGTAAGCATTTTGATAAACATCTCCATATATATGCCAAACACAAACTTAGTAAAAAGTTGGAGCCTTATGTTCCGTGTTCAATCCAACAGCCCCGAGGTCTGTCAAAATATACTATAAGCATTAAGTATTTAGTGACTAAATTAACTCTGTGACTGTAAAAAGGGTGAATACCTTTCTTTTATATACCAATTTAGCAATCATATTTGCATGAAGCTAATTTTCACTTTGCTTGAATTTCTGCCATTAAGAGGTCCTTCTTGCTACTACAAGGAAAAGATGACAATTACCTTAAGGAATATTAGGTGAGGCTTCAAAACCTACTGCTTAACAACCAAGTTACTAAACATTGATATTATTTAGAAAAGGACTGCAAAACTGAGACTGAAAGGAACAACTTGGCATTTCACATGAAGTGCCAGTCTGAAACGAGTCAGCGAGTGCTGTTGCGCAGGACCCACCTGAGTACATAAGCTTCCTGCTTGTCAGTTTTTGTCACACTTATGATTGAGCACTGCACATCCTTCAGAAGTATGTCCCACTCGGATCTGTTAATCAATGAAATAAAAAAAAACCCACCAAAATTAATTCACAGCAACACCTACCTACTCAAAAACTTTACAAAGCTCAACTTTTTCTAATTAAGATCACATTTTTTACCAATTCTTTATATTGCGCCATCTTATGAATAACAAAATGTAATTTGTTTCAAGAGTTTACACTGACATATACAGAGAAAAGGAATATGCTATACATGAAGAAAACAAAAAACACCACAGGTCATTATACTATGTATTCACAAATTAATACAAGGAAAATGGGCAGAAGAATATAAACAAGTCATTTACAGAGGAAATTCAAAAGCCCATAAGTGAAGGAAAATCACTTACTACTGATGAATAAAATTCAAGTTTCCATGCAAAATTTTTGTCTATCAAATTTACAGATTTTTAACCTTAAGAAACATTCTAAAAATTGTTTAAATTTTTGTAGAAACAAGGTCTTGCTATGTTGCCTAGGCTGGTCTCAGACTAATGGACTCAAGCAATCCTCTCTTCTCGGCCTCCCAAAGTATTGGGACTACAAAACTACTTTTGTTTTTAAAAGCACCATTTCACCAATCCAACAGAAATACGAGTCTAAAAACCTTCCTGAAAGAGTAATCTGCTACGTAGATATTATTTCCACCTCTCAAATTGGCAGCTAATTACCATGCAAGAACAAGTGATAGACAGCAAAATGAAAGTCACATACACACGTACATTAGTCTCCATTTATCTGAATAAAAACTACAGAGTGCTTCCTCTTTCATTAGAGTGCCCACTATGACCAGATAATTAAAAACCGTTCCACAGAGAGCTTAAAATTACCAGATTAAGGGCTAGAAACATTAAAGGCCCCTGATATCTGGCAGGTCACTGTTACTCATCTGAGTACTGAGACCCATCCCAAACCCTTAAAACTTAAGGTACTGGGCTTGCTAATGGCTACTGAATTCCTCTACTTGACCTTAACTTTACATGCAGTCCTGGGGAAAAGTTTTCTATTAGCAATAATCATACCTCAGATAAACCTAATTGACTATAATACTTCCACTGTGCAAAGCTATTAGCTGTTTTTAAAAAGATATTTAAAGCCAGGCTCGGTGGCTCAGCCTGTAATCCTGCGCCTTTGGGAGGCTGAGGTGAGTGGACTGCCTGAGCCCGCGGGTTCGAGACCCGCCTGGGCAGCAAGACCTCATCTCTACAATAAATTAAAAAAATCAGCCGGGCGTGGTAGCACATGCCTGTGATTCCGGCTACTTGGAAGGCTGAGGCGGAAGGATAGCTGGAGCCCAGCAGGTCGAAGCTGCGGTGGCTGGGAGCGGCCACTGCACTCCAGTCTGGGCTACTGAGTGAGACTCCAACTCAAAAAAAAAAAAAAAAGATATTTAAAATAATTTCAGCTGGGCGTGGTGGCTCATGCCTATGATTCCAGTGCTTTGGGAGACCTAGAAGGGATGACTGCTTGAAGCCAGGAGTTCAAGACCAGCCTGGGCAACATAGCAAGACCTTGTCTCTACAAAATATAAAGATTAACTGGGTGTGGTGGTGTGGGCCTATAGTCCTGGCTACTTGAGTAAGAGGATGTCCAGGCTATAGTGAGCTGCGATCATGCCACTGCACTTAAGCCTGGGCAACAGAGTAAAATCTTGTCTCCACGTCCACACAAAAAAAGGCATTAAGTAAAATGTGAGCAAGCATAGAATTCCTTTTAGAGCTTTTCTAATCCAGATCCATCTATAACGCTATCTGTGTACATCATCACTGACAGAGTTCCCAGTAGATTTTAGTACTCTTGCACATGTTCTCTTCTACCCCTGGACATACTAACAAACCTTTTCCTATCATTCTCCTCTCAGTTATATTCTATTAAGACTTTAAACACGAGCCGGGTTCGGTGGCTCAGCCTGTAATCCCGTGCCTTTGGGAGGCTGAGGTGAGTGGATTGCCTGAGCCCACGGGTTCGAGACCCGCCTGGGCAGCGAGACCTCATCTCTACAATAAATCAAAAAATCAGCCGGGCGTGGTAGCGCA